TCTGCACTGAGAATCAAGCCGATAGCCAACGTCCAGCCTTCAGTATGGATTGAGGCTCTATATCAAGAAAACAAAGATTTTCACCACTGGGCCTATTGACAACATCAGGATGGATGGTGAAAAGATTGAGATTATTTACAGTTTTAGTTTGCTTGACTCCACAGTCAAAACTCTTGGCACCAGCAGCCAGGAAATTAAAAGATGTATTGCGATGGGAAACTCTGCTGTTAGGGACCTTTCCAAAGGACTAAAGAGCAATGATGTCACTCTGGAGACTAAGGTGTGTCTGATACAGGCCATGGTCTTTGCAATCACTATGTTATGAGTCAGAAAGTTAGACAATGACCAAGGAGGATAGAAAGAGAATTGATGCCTTTGAGCTGTGGTGGTGGAGAAGAGTATTGAGTGTACCATGGACTGCTAAGAAAACAAACAGATCTATCCTGGAGAGGGTTAAACCAGGCTGTTCCTTGGAGGCAAGGATTCTGAGGCTTCATCTGACATACTTTGGACATGTTGTGAGGAGGGACCTGTCCTTGGAGAGGGTCGTCATGCTTGGGAGGGTGGAGGGACAACACAGGAGGGGAAGACCTTCTATGAAGTGGATTGAGTCAGTGATTGGGGTAAGATGGGTGGGTGTATCAGAGACAGTGAGATTGGCACAGGACAGAGCAGAGTTTAGGGCTGTTGTGCATAGGGTTGCAAGTGACTCAACAGCCCATAACAACAACTGGGACACAAAAGTGGACCATCAAGCACTCAAAGGACCTTCAGTTGTGGAAGGAAAAGGCCCCTCCTCTTTTTCACATAGCTGAACCAGCAGGCTGGTGTGGATGCCCTTGGCTGAGCTGCATGGAGAGGGAGGTTTTGTAGCTTAGGCTGAGCCAACTACAGCCACACTTGGTCTCAGTCTCACATGGATGCATTGCCCTTTCTGCCTGATATCCCTTTCAGCACTAGCACCTCCTCTTCTCGCCTTCAGAGGGCCTGGAGCTCATAGAAAAGCAGCTACATAGCCGGCCACGAATCCTGTACTCAGAGAAGCAGATCCCAGAGTGCCTCTTGCTTGTCCTCTACTGTCCTGACTCACCACACCAGGTTGTCATTTAGGTGGTGGGTATATGTATTTTTAATTATATGTATATACTATAATTGGCTTGAAAGGTTTGAAGCCAATTGCAATATATACATTGTGAAGCTCAACATCAAGAAAACAAAAATTCTCACCACTGGGCCTATTGGCAGCATCATGACAGATGGTGAAGAGATTGAGGTTGTCGGCAGCTTCAGTTTGCTTGGCTCTACAATCAACTCTCTTGGTACCAGCAGACAGGAAATTAAAAGACGAACTGTATTGGGAAAGTCTGCTCTCAGAGACCTCTCCAAGGAGCAATAATGTCAGTCTGGAGACTAAGGTGCATCTGATACAGTCATGGTCTTTGGCATTACTTGCTGTGCTTCAGAGAGCTGAGCAATGACTAGGGATGATAGAAAGAAAATTGATGTCTTTGAGCTGTGGTGCTGGAGATAAGTATTGACTGCTAGGAGAACAAACAAGTTCATCCTGGAGAGGGTGAAGCCAGGCTGCTCCTTGGAGACAAGGATTCTGAAGCTTCTTCTGACATACTCTGGACATGTTGCAAGGAGGGACTAGTCCTTGGAGAGGAACATCATGCTTGGGAGGATGGAGGGACAGCGCAAGAGAGGAAGACCCTCGATGAGATGGATTGATTCTGTCACCGGAGTAATGGGGGTAGGCATGTCAGAGACAATGAGGTTGACAAGGGATAGAGGAGGGTTTAGGGCTGTTGTACATAGGGTAGCTATGAGTCACAAGCACCTTGACAGCACATAACAACAACAACAACTATAATTGGAAGCAGGAGTTGCATCCACTTCTTAAACAACATGCCTCTCCAAAGCCTATGAACTTTGAGAAATGAGAGTTCTAGAAAGGCTAGAGTCATGAGTCATGCTATGAGTCATGCTCAACTTGACCGCCATCAACAACAACATCATATGCTATAAATATGTGGACTCATTCAAAATAAGAAACCAAGTGATGCTAGGAATATAGAGGAAAGTCAGGATCATTGCCAGCAAGTAATCAGAGAAAATCAATTGTTGAAGAAAAATAATGTGAGAAAGCAAAAATATTACAAAGCCTAAGAACAGGACATGGAATGCAGTGATATTAGCTAAAATTCACTGAGCACGTACTGTATGCCTGATAGTGCACCAGCTGAGTTCCCAAGAGTAATTACATTTTACATCAGTGTCACTCAAAGTGTAATTGTTGGACTAGCTGTAGTGGCATCACTTAGAGCTTATTAGAAGTAACTATCTGGAACAGCAAACACAGTACAGGGGAATTGGAGGAGGCATGGGGTAAAACTGTATGCATATGAATGAATGAATGAGTGAATGAATGAATGAATGAATGACAAAACCAATCTCTTTGTAACTTTCACTAAAAACACAATTTTTAAAAAATTAAAAGTGCACATTTATGGGTCCACTTTATGCTATTCACCAAATCTTTGAAAATGGGCACAGGATTATTTAATAAGATCTCTCCGGTGGCTTAGGGGTAAGAAGCTGTGCTGAAATCCAAAAGGCACAGAATACAAATCCACCAGCTGCTCCCTGGAAGAAGGATGGGCAGTCACCTTCCTTGAGATTAACAGCCTCTGAACACTCACTGGAGGGTCAGTCATGGGTTGCTTTGGACTCGATAGCACATAATAACAACAACTAGCTTAATAGGCAATTTTATTCACGTTAAAGTTGAACAATAATTGTCCTAAAGAATTCATCAAATTCATTAATAAGAATTTCATTCTCCTTATAAAATAATAGTTTATGAAGGGTATGCTCTAATTCAATAATAGGAGTTATGAAAGGATGTCAGTCATAAAAAAGGTTACATTTTATATTAAACACGTGTATGTTGCTATTACTAAATGCCGTCGCCGTCGAGATAGAAGTGACAGCTGGTTTTCAGAGGCTGTAAATCACACAGGAGAAGACTGCTCATCTTTCTCCTGTGGGGCCTCCGGTAGATTCAAACCGCATGCCTTCTGGGTTGCAGCAGAGCTCCTTACCACCAGGTCACTAAAGCTTCATGCAAGTATACAGAGACTAAGTATATAAAGATGAAGGAGATTGAAACACTCACTGATGAATGTAGAGTGAAGAATATGCCTTTTAGTATACATTACATTGTAGCATAAGAGGGGGTATACCTTCACAATTAGATTTACAAACAACATCATAATAAATAGAAAAGTTTTAAGCTGTCGAAAATTTCATTTTACTTTGATCCACAATGTTCCTGAAAGTATCACCTAACAAAATTAAAGGAAATATTGTTGTTGTTTCTGACTGCTGTCAAGTCGAGCACAATTCATAGCGACTCTGTGAACAAAAGGTCTGAAGCCTTTTTTAAACTATCATCATTTATCAAAGTTCATAGAGTTTCCAGAGGCATGTTGTTTACAAAGTGGATGCCACTCCTGCTTCCAAAGACTTGTTGCAATGGGCAAATCTGCTATAAAACATCTCCTTAAAGTACCAAAGAACAGGGTATCACACTGAGAAATAAAGGGTGCCTGACCCAAGTCAATATACATCTGGTTGCCTCATAGGCATGTGAACACTGGAGCATGAATAAAGAAGACTGAAGATGAATTGATGTTTTTTTTAATTATGATGTTGTAAAAGAGTATTGAATATACCACACAGTCAAAAGAACCAACAGTATGCCTTAGAAGAAGTGTAGACAGAAAGCTCCTTAAGCCCAGCAAAGTCTTTGGCTCATAACCATTGGACGTGTTATTAAGAGGGGCCAGTCTCTGGAGAAAGATCATGATTAGTAAAGCAGAGGCTCATGGAATAAAGTAAGATCTTCAACAACAAAATGGTTTGACTGACACAATGTTTGCAACATTGGGCTCCAGCACAGCAGAAATTATAAGAAAGGTGAAGGGTTTGGTAGTGCGTGATTTCGTTGCACAAAGAGTTTCTATAAGTTGGAGTAGATAGGACAGCACTTGGCAACAACAACATAGAAAACAAAGGTGGTTGGTCATCACCAGAGATGTCAGGGAGGCACACTCATTGTCTAATGGATATTATGTTACGAGTGGTAGAAAAATTTGAATACGAGTGGTAGTGATGGTTGAGTAACACGAAAAGTATAATTAATGTCACTGAATGAATGACACTTGAAAATATTGAAATGGCAAGTATTTTGTTACATATAATTTAAGATTTACATAAGACAATCTTGCACCTGATACACGCCATGGTTTTTGCCATTATTTGCTATGCTTCAGAGAACTGAACAGCGACTAGGGGTGATAGAAAGAGAGTTGATGCCTTTGAGCTGTGGTACTGGAGAAGAGTATTGAATATATCATGGACTGCTAGGAGAACAAATAAGTTCGTCCTGGAGAGGGTGACGACAGACTGCTACTTGGAGGCAAGGATTCTGAAGCTTTGTCTGACATGCTTTGGGCATGTTGCAAGGAGGGACCAGTCCTTGTAAAGGGACATCATGCTTGAGAAGGTGGAGGGACAGCGCAGGAGAGGAAGACCCTTGATGAGATGGATTGATTCCACCACTGGGGTAATGGGAATAGGTGTGTCGGAGACAGTGAGATTGGCAAGGGATAGAGCAGGGTTTAGAACTGTTGTCCTATGTTAGGGTCGCTATGAGTCGCAGAGGACCTGATGGCACACAACAACAAGAACAACAATACTTTAAGATGCCTTCGTAATAAAGTAAAAATTGTCACAGTTATATGTGCAATTGAAGAACTAGATATAAAATTGCTTCTGAGTAATAAACATATAAAACATTTTTATTATCAAAATACAGGGCAGGAAAAAAAAAACCACCCTTGCAACTAGCAGACGTTTAACATTCTGGTTTGCCCAGTATTATTTCGTTTTGACATCATTCTAAAAGTCCAAGCCAAAAGTAAGTAACACAGTCATTAAAAAGAAACTGTTCTCCAGAGGAGCTTTTTCAAGGCCACCTTTATGTCTCTGTTCCTTAGACTATAGATAAAAGGGTTCAGCATTGGCGGGACCACAGTGTACATCACCGAGGCTATTGCTATGTTATTGGAAGAATGAGTAACTGCAGAGCTAATGTACACTCCAAAAGCTGTCCCGTAGAATAAGAAAACCACAGAGAGGTGAGACCCACAGGTGGAGAAAGCTTTATGTATCCCACCTGTGGACGGCATTCTCAGGATGGAAGAGACAATTTTCATGTAAGAGAAAACAATCCCAAAGAGAGGAATACCACCCAGTATGGTAGTTATTAAGTATACGAGGATGTTATTGATGAGTGTATCGGAACAGGCAAGTTTGATGACTTGAGCAAGTTCACAGAAGAAGTGAGGAATTTCCAGGTGTGCGCAGAAGGACAGCCTCAGCACCATAAGACTGTGTAGCAGGCCATCTGCCAGGCTAAGAAACAAGGAGCCGAGAATCAACAGGCCACAGAGGCGAGGGTTCATGATGTTTGTGTACCTCAGTGGATGACAGATGGCCACATAGCGGTCGTAGGCCATTGCTGCAAGGAGAAAATTTTCCAGGCCTGCGAAAATCAGTATCAAGCAAACCTGAGTGAGGCAACCTGTGTAACTGATGGCTTTGCTCTGTGTCTGGATGTTCACCAGCATCTTGGGGACGGTGGTGGTGCTGAAACAGACGTCGGTGAAGGACAGGTTGGAGAGGAAGACATACATGGGGGTGTGGAGACGGGAGTCTGAGCTGATGGCCAGGATAATGAGCAGGTTCCCGAGCACGGTGACCAGGTACATGGTCAGGAACAGGCCAAAGATTAAAGGCTGCACTTCTGAATCCTCTGAAAGCCCCAGGAGGAAGAATCTCGCTACACTGGTTTGATTTTCTGGTGTCATGTCGTTGATTAGTCTAAAGAAAGAAGTGAGAAACAGATAATGGATCTACAAAGACAGATTGTTTTACATATATGCGCACACACATATTGTGAAATGAAGCAAAGACCGAGTCTCTCCTTCCTCATCCTTTCTCTCCTTCCTCCCTCCCCTTTATGCATTTCTATCTCAGCCTCTCCCTCCTTCTATTTTACCTATATCCACCTCTCTCCTCCATTATCATATTTTTTATAAACCTAGAACAGACTCAAGTTCTTTCTCTCGTTTTAATAACACCAACATAAAGAGAGATCAGTTGGCCTAATGGAGAGAAAGTGATGCTACCAAGCCAAAGGTGGGTGACTTCTAATCCATGGCTCTTGGGCCTGTTTTTCACTGTTTTTGTTCCAACATTCTTCTAGGTGGTGTAGCCCTGGTGTGTCCACTTGCCGTACAGAGGTAACTTGTGGTTGCTGTGAGGCTGAACACTGTGACACTGATGTATCAAATGCAACAACGGTTACCCCTGGGGGACAGTATTTGGTGGAGCTCCCCGATTAAAACAAGCTTGGAAGCAGGAGTAGCATCCACTTCTGTAAATAGCTTGCCTCCGGACAGCCTATGGACCTGGAGAGAGGATGAAGGTCACACAAGTGTTGAGGACTTTCATTCATAGGGTCGCTATGAGTCGCCTATGACTTGACGGCACTTAACAACAACAATTCTTGGACAACGTACATAATATTTGTGTTTACTGAAGATCTGCTCTTTCCCCACGTTGTCCCAACTAACAGGAATGCATTATAAAAATTATATGACTTTTTTCCATAGGAGTTGTTCCAAGCCTTCAAACTAATAACAGCAAATAAAAGCAAAACCCACAAAAAAAAGCTCTTTTAGAGCTGCACTTCTTAGTCTCTGCATTGCACTGCAATCGACTGCTGGAGGGCTGATTATTGGAGTATTAGGTTCAGAAGCTAAACTCTAAGGCTCAAGTGTTTTCCTTTCTAACAAATATTTAAATGCAATTGCTGCTGGTCTGGGGACCACAATTCGAAGTCCACTATTTGGGACAATCAGCCCTTGCAGCCCATTTACAGTCAACTCATCTGCAAGAAGTGACTTCCTTGGTACGCCTCATGAAGAAATGGAGATCTGCCTTCCCAGGCTTTGCGGTGGCAACTTGCCAAGATTTCAAGCCCAGGGTTATGCTTAACTTCATTTTCAGCTGTTCCTAAAAATCTGTCTTTTTAATTTCCTATTTCTACTTCAATGCCCCATCATTTAGATTCTTGTCCCTTTTTACCATTATTCTAATAGCTAGTAGCATTGTCAGAACTCATAGTTAAAATTAGTAAAAGATGCTACTATCACCATGAATAACAGTTACTGATTTCTGTCTATTGCCTGACATAGTTTTTGTGATTTATTTTATCAGCTATTTTTCTTATCATAACAGACATAAATTGTTGTGTTGCTGTTGTTATGTGCCGTCGAGTCGTCTGCAACTCAGAGACCCTATGTACAACAGCCCTAACCTCTGCCCTATCCTGTGCCAGTCTCACCATCTCTGACCCACCGACCCCCATTACCCCAGTCACAGACTCAATCCATCTCATTGAGGGTCTTCCTCTCCTGCGCTGTCCCTCCACGCTCCCAAGCATGATGTCCTTCTCTAAGGACTGGTCCTTTCTTGCGACATGCCCAAAGTATGTCAGATGAAGCTTCAGAATCCTTGCCTCCAAGGAGCAGCCTGGCTTCATCTTCTCCAGGACAAACTTGTTCGTTCTTTTAGCAGTCCATGGTATATTCAATACTCTTCTTCAATGTCACAGCTCAAAGGCATCAATTCTCCTATCATCCCTAGTCATTGTCTAGCTCTCTAACGCATAGCAAGGGATGGCAAAGACCATGGCCTGTATCAGGTGCATAGCAGACTTAAATTAGGTACTTTTTACTGTCCAACTTTTGATCCATACATAGTCTGTTCCATACTACCAATTACAGTATACACAATGTCTGTGCTGAAAACAAATGCTTCAGAAGAACTCTGTGGAAGTGTCTATCTCAGGGGGAAACAATCTACTATGATCCTTTTTGTTAAAACTTAATGGCACTGTTTCAGTTATGCAACATCGAGTCAAAGTATGACTCATAACGACCCTATGAACAACAATTCTGAACTCAGATCTATTCTGCATCATCCTTGTCATCCTCACCACCACGTTTGATTATGTTGCAACACTGTATCAATTCATCTCATTGAGGATCTGCCTTCCTACCCTTCACTGACCCTCCACTTTTCCAAGCATGTTGTCCCTTTTCAAGAAATAGCCTCTCCTAACAACATGTCCAAAATATGTAAGACAAAGCTTAACCATCTTTGTCTCCAAAGAGCACTTTCTCCAGGACATATCTGTTTGTTCTTTTGGCAGGCCTTGAGATATTTCCCACTCTTCTTCAACACCACAACTCAAATGCATTGATTCTTTTTCTGTCATCTTTATTCATTGTCCAATTTTCAGATGCAAAGCTGGTGAGTGGCAAGACTGTGTCTTGAATCGGGTACACCTTAGTCTTCAAACTGACATTATTGCTCTTCAAGACTTGTAGACATTCCTGACAGCAAACTTTCCCAATGCTGTATGTCTTCTGATTTGCTGACTTCTGATACCAAAGATGTTGACTGTGGAAGTAAGATGAAATCATTGCCAATTTCAATCTTTTCTCCATCTATCATGATGTTGCCTATTGGCACAGGAGTAAGCATTTTCTTTCTTAATGCTGAGATGTAATCCATATTGAAAGAGGCAGTCCTTAATCCTCTGCAGTAAGCATTTCAGGTCCTACTCAATTTCAGAAAGCAAGGCCATGTCATCTGCATAAGGCAGGTTGTTGATGGGGCTTCCTCCAATGGTGCTGCCACATTCTTCTCCACAATGTTCAGCTTTTCAAGTGATTTGCTCAGCATATAGATTGAATAGACATGGAAAGAGGATACATCCCTGACACATTGTTGTTGTTGTTGTTATGTGCCGTCGAGTCGTTTGCGACTAATAGCGACCCTATGCACAACAGCCCTAAACCCTGCTCTATCCTGCGCCAACTGCACTGCTTCTGACACACCCATCCCGATTACCCCCGTCATGGAATCAATCCATCTCATAAAGGGTCTTCCCCTCCTGCGCTGTCCCTCCACCCTCCAAAGCATGATGTCCCTCTCCAAGGACCCGTCCCTCCTGGCAACATGTCCAAAGTATGTCAGACGAAGCCCCAGAATCCTTGCCTCCAAGGAGTAGCCTGGTTTAACCCTCTCCGGGATGGATTTGTTGTTTTCTTGGCAGTCCATAGTATATTCAATATTCTTCTCCAGCACCACAGCTCAAAGGCATCAATTCTCCTTCTGTCCTCCCTAGTCATTGTCCAACTCTCTGATGCATAACACGTGATTGCAAAGACCATAGCTTATATCAGAAGCACCTTAGTCTCCAGAGTGACACCATTGCTCTTCAGCACCCTGGAGAGGTCCCTAACAGCAGACTTTCCCATCGCAATACATTTTTTTTTTTCCTGGCTACTGGTGCCAAGACTGTTGACCATGGAGCCAAGCAAACTAAAGATGTGAACAATCTCAATCTCTTCACCATCCATCCTGATTTTATAATTAGGACCATTATAAAATATTTTAGGGATTTTTGCAAAGATGAAAACTGAGTAGACAAAAGCATAAAATGGTACTCACCATATGCCACCCACTCAATATTGACTATTGTGATTTATTTCATATGGGCACAATATGGCATTATTGTTATTATTGCTTGAGGCTGTGGAGTCAGCTCTAATGCACCACAGCCCTTTACACAACAGAGCAAATCTTTGCCAGGTCCTGAACCATCTTCACAATTTCTGCCGTGCTTTCCCAAGCATTGTGTCTTTCATTATTGAAAAGGGAATGAGTGGGCTAAAATGAATATAGAAAGAGAAAGAACAGTCCTAGCAAATCAAATATGCATTTTAGGGAGAAATTGTTGTTTTATGCCCTTTAGCCAACTGTGACTCCTATTGACCCTATGCACTGTAGTTCTCAACCTTGACCTATTCTAAGACAACCTCAATGTTTCTGACACTTCCATCCCTATTCCAGTTACTGCGTCAATCCATCTCATCCAGGGTCTTCTTCTCCTGTGCTTTCCCTCCACCCTTATAAGAGAGAAGTCCTTCTCCAAGGACTGATGTCTTCTGGAAACATGCTCAAAGTATGTGAGACAGAGCTTCAGAATCTTGCCTCCAAGGAAAAACTTGGTTTCACCCTCTCTAGGACAGACCTGTTTGTTCTCTTTGCAGTCCATGCTATGTTCTATACTCTTCTCCAGCACCACAATTCAAAGCCATTGATTCTATGCTAATATTCAAAGAGGGAGATCTAGTGGCCTATTGCTAAGAAACTGCACTGCAATCTGAAAAGTGTGCAGTTCAAATCCACCAGCTGCTTTGCAAGAAATGAATGAGCAATCTCTTCCTGAGCAATTGACTGCCTCTGAAAATATACTCAATGGCACACAACAACAAAATATTCTTGCCAAGAAAACGAAACTCAATTTATAGATCAATTTGGGTAGAAATTATTCAATGGGAACCTAAACTGATGCATGAATTTTCACCATCAAGAAAGAAAATGTTGTTTTAAAAACTATATTGCCAGGGTTCCATAGGGCATGAAGAAGAAATGGCCCAAATGAATATAAATGTTAACAATATTCATTTGGGATGGATGTATTATAAAATACATAGCTATTACAAGAAACGTATTAGATATAGAAAGTATTAACTCAAATAATGAAAACCTAACAGAAAAAAAATATAATTTCTGTAAGTAATCTCTATGTTGTTGTTGCTCCGAGAGAGAAAGGTCGTTTGGAAGTTATAGTAAGGAAGGAGAGAGAAGGATGGTCGGGTGGACTTTGAATCACAATGACCTTAGTTCAATCCTGCACCATCCTCACAATCTCCACCCACCTCAAGTT